ACCAGGAGGAAACCCACACAAGCACAGGGAGAACTGGCAAACTCAATGTAGATAGTGTCCACTGTCTACTCAAACATCAGACCACCATTTTGCTGGACACTGTGCTGCCCAATATGTTTGTGCAATGTGTTATAGAAGTTTATATTGTTTATTGTTGCTATTATGGCACCTTTGGGTTTTACTAATAGATTGTACATATGTACTCCTGAAAACTTCAATGTCAAAATGTCTTGAAATATACATATATATATATGCATGTAAACATGACATATACCTAAACCCAAACGTTAGCATAAAACTGTTAATAGTCTTGCCGGGATGAGAAGTGAAGGCTAAACAAGCTAAAATGATTTCCTTTACTGGAGAAAATACAAAAGCCTTGACACCTGGTCATAAGATCTCTGCTGAGCAAGTGGATCTGCCAGTCAGACCTTTTTATCTTCCCCTTCCAGTAGAGATCACTTGTTCAAATGCCAAGGTTTTGGCATGACCAGCACTGTAGGGAACCTGAAGCATAGTTTTCTATTGGAAAGATAAAGAGGGCTATACATTTCATTCGAATGAACATTAGTCCAAAAACATTTGATGGCTTAACGACTGTTGTTCTAAAGTAGTTAAAATTTTTGTTTCCTTTTAACATTTGATTTTGTAGACTTTTCTGAACAAAAATTACATTTACTGTTAGAAATGTGTTTGTTCAAGAACAATTTTCTACTCTGCTTCTTCTAACTTTCTTACCATTGCAGTCAATGAAATATAAAAAAACAGAATGTTGATTTAACCCCACTAACAATTAGAAAATTTAACTGTTGAATTTCATTTTTAATAAAGCTTTATGTCCAGGAAATGAAGAAAACAACAAGTCCAGCAAATGTATACAGCAGGTGAAGCCCTGTCTAGGATCCCAGATCCAGAAACCGCAGTGCAGCTTCCTACTTCAATAGTCTTACCATTGGGAAAAACAGTACAGCTATATTTAAAGTAGTTCCCTTTACTAAGGACCTCTGGGTATTTTGATGTTCAAACAATCAAACAAAATTTGGTTGCTTGTTTTGTTTTTAATTGCCTTAAATAATAGCAATGTGCACCACACCATGTATCTGACCTAATAGCTTTTTTTGCTGCCTTCTAAGGGATCCTCTCAACTAATTATCCATCAAATATTCACATAAATGGTTAAATCAAAAGGCAATTTATATATGCATACCTGCCAGCCAGCTCTTGTCACACACCCATCAGCCAGAAAACATTAAATGAGTCGGAAAACATTAGCCAGATATGACAGTAGCAGCTTTTAAAACATTTAATGCATTTGCTACCACTCAAACCACAATGACCTCTCAGGTCTGAAGAGCTCACAGACCCTGCTGGGGGGGGGGGGGGGGGATAGATTAGGGGGTTAGTGGTGCATTTGGAGAAATGAGGGGGGTTAAAGGTAGTACTCCTTGTATTATTATGACCGATTGACCATTTCTACATTTTAGGATTAGAATACTAGGAATTTACATTTTTAGATCTAGAGTATGACACTGAGCAGCTGTACATGGACATGATTTATCTGTGTTCTCATTTATATCTGTGTCATCATTAAACTGCATGTTTGGGTGAAACTGAAAAAAAAAACAGATTGAACACAACTCTCCAATACATGCACATTTCTCCATATTATGTCTCTTTAACCACTTGCCGCCCAGCCACTGTACATATACGGCGGCAGGGCGGCACTCGCAGGCAAAACCACAAATAGGGGGCGCGCGCGAGGCGCGCCACCGCCCTATCTCTCCCGCCGATCACCGCCGCAGATGTGAGTCGCCGGGTCACAGCCGTTCCTTAGCGGCTGTTTCCCAGCGATCGGCGGCAAACAGTGACAGACAGCACAGCTGCAGTAGCTGTGCTGTCTGTCACTTCCCTGTCAGCTCGAGGATGAGCTGATCGAGAAAGAACAGTTTCTCTTTCTCGATCAGCCTTGTCCCGCCCAGTACACACCCCCGCCCCCTAGTAAAACACTCCCCTCACTCCTATAACCCTTCCCTGCAAAATAAAGTTAACCCCTTCCTCCCCGTTGCCATTAGTACAGTGTCAGTGTTTTTTTTTTTTTGCACTGATCACTGTATTAGTGTTTTTGGGGATGTCAGTGACCCCAAGTCAGTACCCCCCAATGTCAGAATGTCCGCCGCAGTCCCGCCATAAGTCACTGGTCGCTGCCATAAGTCCCTGATCGCCGCCATAATTCGTTGATCGCCGCCATTATTAGTATAAAAAAAACCCCTAAAAATCCCAGTATCTTTCCTGCCATTTGTAAACGCTATAACTTTCACGTAAACCAATTAATTTACACGTATTGGGTTTTTCTTTTAGCAAAGACATGTCGCAGAATGCATTTTGGCAGAAATTTATGACTAAATTAGATTTTTGCATTTTTTTTTTACTGGACATGTTTTATAGCAAAAAAGTCCAAAATATTGTTTTTTTTTCCCTCAAAATTGTCAGCCTTTTTTTTATAGCGCAAAAAATAAAAACCGCACAGGCGATCAAATACTACCGAAAGAAAGCTCAATTTGTGGGGAAAAAAAGGATGTAAATTTCATTTAAGTACCGTATTGCATAACCGTGCAATTGTCCGTTAAACTAGCGCAGCGCTGTATAGCAGAAAAATGGCGTAAATTGCAGTATTTATACCATAGTTTGTAGACGCTATAACTTCCACACAAAGCAATCAATATACACTTATTGGGATTTTTTTTTACCAAAAACATGTAGCAGAATACATTTTGGCCTAAATTTATAACCAACTTTGAGTTTACTATATAATTTTTATAGCTGAAAGTAAAAAATATTGTTTTTCTTCAAAATTTTTGGCCTTTTTTTGTTTATAGCGTGAAAAATAAAAAGCGCACAGGTGATCAAATTACCCCGAAAGAAAGCTCTATTTGTGTGAAAAAAAGGACGTAAATTTCGTTTGGGTGCAGCATTGCATGACCGCGCAATTATCAGTTGAATTAGTGCAGCGCCGAGTAGCAAAAAGAGGCCTGGTCATTAAGGGGGGTAAGTCCTCTGGAGCTCAAAACAGTGCAAAAACTGAAAAATACCTGATATTACTGCTAGAAATGCAATCAACTCCTGCCAACGCTGCAGTGAAATTCCAAGCAGCATTGTCGCCTCTACTTTACTCTAAATCTGCAGTACCTCTCCAATGGTCTGGCAGTCATGATGTTCCCTGCTGGTTCTGGTATTTTATCTCCTTGTTTCTTCCAGGTGCTGGTCTTTGGCTGTCTTGATTGGCCAGTACAGGATTATGTAATACCTGCACTTGACTTGTGTCTGTTTACATCTGCCTACCTTTGGGTCCAATCATGCCCACTAAAACAAAATGGAGGAGGACTACGTTCTCTTCCATTTGAGTGATCTGGATTGGAGGCAGCCAGATGTAAACGGACAGCGGAGTCCATTTACTCCCGGCCACCTATAGAGCAGAGAGGGGTCTGTCCATGCTTGCTCAACTGAAACTAAGCAGACACGGACCTGTCATCTGCCATGTTCTGCTCTGATCAGCAGGGGATCAGCTCGTACATCAGAAGCTGCCTGTGTGAAAGGTGCCTCAGACTTTTGTTCCACTTCAACCCTACCAACCAACACACCAAGGGCAAAGAAAGACAGATCGACAAGTTCACCACTTTGGTACTACAGAACAAGCAATAACAACAGTGCAGAGAAGTTATACTGGAGGAACAGGAAAAGTCTAGTTGAATGTGACTGATATCTACTAACTACATTGCTTCTAATTGGAGAGGTATGCAATCTAGGACCTGACACCCTGTAAAAACCTGTGCCTCTTTACTAAAAAGGCTTGTGCCCTCTAATTAAGACTGCAGTCTCCTTAGAGGAAAGCAGGAAAAGCCCCTGTTAAATTTAGAGAGTAAAAAGTATTTTTCCTGGTTTAAAAAACTACTCAGCTATGACATATTCTAAGGTTTATGTCACACTAGCGATCCTGTCACTGGCAACAACTCTCCAGCGACTTCTTCACTAGAGGGGAGAAAACACGCTAAAAACCATTCACCTGTTTCCATAGCATTGCTCCCTTGTTGCCTGGAGCAGCGAGGCATTGCTCCATTGCTGGTGAGGGAAATTCTGCTGCATTTGAGCTAGCAAGGGATCAACGACTCCCAGTTCCATCCAGCCTGGGGGGTGATGCTGTTGAAACAGGTGAGTGGTTTTTTTTTTTGCCCTACCAAGCCAAATGCTGATGACTCAGGAATAGGATCGCTAGTGTGACATGGGCCACAGGAGGAGGCGTATCCGCAAACATTTTGTAATTATGTGCCTGGTTGCTTGCACAGTAACATTTTGATAGAAATGGTTATTTTTCAAAATTGGCATTACATGGATGCAAGTAATGGTTAATGGGGGTACTGTAGTTTTGGGTAGTTAATTTTGGGATCTATCTTTGAAAGAGTGAAAATATTTTTGATGCAAATTACCTTTATTAAAGAGATTTATTTTGATGTAAAATGCACCTTCTTTAGGAATACACGTTTGAGGCAAATTACTTCAACAAATATTAAAACATATTGGTTCGCGGTAGAACATACAAACCTAAAGAAAGTTCTACCGCGAACATAATGCAAGTCTATGGGACTCGAACTTGTAAATTCAAAAGTGCCCATTTTGAAGGCTTATATGCAATTTATTGGCCATAACAGTGGTATAGGGACTCGGGTATTGCCCTGAATCAGTTAAAACATTTTTTCAAAAAGTACCGTTTTTAAAGGAGCAGTAATTTTTCTTTGCTTAACCACTTGCTTACCAGGCACTTTTACCCCCTTCCTACCCATGCAACACTGTACCCAAACAAAATTTTTATCTTTTTTTTTTTTTTTTTAGATACATAGAGTTTTTTTTTTTGGTGGTATTTAATCATCACTGGGATTTTTATGTTTTGCTAAATAAACTAAAAGACTGAAAATTTTGGGGGAAAAAAAGTTTTTTCTTAGTTTCTGTTATAAAATTTTGTAAATAAGTAATTTTTCTCCTTCGATGATGTGCGCTAATGAGGCTGCAGTGATAAGCACTGATAGGTGGCACTGATGAGGAGGCACTGATGGGCATTGACAGGCATCACTTGTGGGCACTGAAAGGCAGCATTCATATATGGCACTGACTGGCACTGATAAGAACTATTAGGCGGCACTGATGGGCAGCACTGACTGACACTTTAGGTGGCACTGATTGCCGGCACTGAGTTGGCACTGAAAGGCAGCTCTGATGGGCACTGGTATGTGGCATTGATGTGCACTGGTAGATGGCATTGATGGGCAATTACAGGTGGCATTGATGGACACTGACAGGTGGCACTGATGGGGCTACACTGATCATCAATGCCCTGATGATCAGTGTAGATGTTCCCTCTGAGGAATGCCGATTACCAACTCTGCTCTCCTCACACGTTGTCAGCGTGAGGAGAGATCTGCCGATAAAAGGCACTTCCTATTTACATGTGATCAGCTGTGATTGGACACAGCTGATCACATGACAGAGCCAACGTCATCTGCTCTTTACTCCCAGGGACACAGTGCACCACCAATTGCTGCATGCCCCCGGGGGTGCACATGCTCAGTTAAAGTGGGAGCATGTCATATGATGTCCTCCCAGAACGAGAGAACTGCCGCCCCCGCCTGTCATTTCCTTATAGTGCAGGTGGGAGGCGGTTAAAGTAAAAAAAAAAATTGAAAAATTCCTTTAAATATAATGCCTGGGGGGTCCCCTTAAACTACCTGCAAAAGTTCCACATCTGTACAATGTGTGGAACCTGCTGCAGCAGGACTGACATTTAAAAAAAGACATTTTTATCTAAAAAAAAAAACAGCATGGGGTTCCCTACCTTAACTATACCAGACCCTTTAGGTCTGGTAGGAAGGTTAGGAGGGACCCCACAGTAAAAAAAATTCTTAAAACATTGCGTGGGGTTCCCCCTAAAAGCCATACCAGGCCCTTTAGGCCCCCATATACCACCCACCCCATCACCATGCCCTGTGATTGGTCAAAGCATAGCACGGACCTGTGATCAGGTACTATGCTTTGGCCAATCACAATGCACTGTCAGGGCGCAGTCCATTGTGGGGACACACAAACGGCCCATGTTCGAGTCGAACTAAAATTCGACTCGAACATGTAGACCATCACTATTGGCTAGGAATGATCATGATAGGTAACCCCAGCTCATCAAAGTAGCCAAAAAACTAGAATTCGTAGACTAGAATTTTTTTTATCTGCCATATTGTTCATCACTGTAATGCAGAGATGCATACAGATAGAACAATTGTATACATTCTAATCAGTGGGCAGTTGAATTGGGATGACAGTGGATAAAGAACTACAGTTACAAAGAAAATGCAGGAGTAGACAATGGTCAAGTGAGGTTAACCTGTAGAAGAAAAGCCCACTCTTGATTGATGAAGTATCTTTTGTCATATTCGATATTCAAACCCATCAGCATAAAACCATTTTTGGGGCTGGAACATGATGTTTTTGGACCTAGCAGGTTGACATCTGTTCAGGCTGAGGGTGATGCATGCCACATCAGTGTTGTGGAAATGATTTGTCCTCTCCTTTGTGCTAGCTGACATTAAAGGACCTGCAGCAAAGATCCAGTAACAAAAGGAACATTTCTAGCCTGGCGAAGGCTGCGTTGTAATTATACAGTTCTTAAACCTTCAGACCCCCCGGCTGCTTTCCCCCCAGCTGTGCGCCAGTCACTTTACACCCCTGCCGACTCCCCATGCCTTCCCAGGAATCCTTCCTCACACCACCCTCTGTGTTACAATCTGCCAGCGCAGATATAATTGCCGGGTAGCTCTTCTTGCTCTCTCTGTCTCTCGTTCCGAGCCTGTTAAAGTTGGAGTTGACACTGCCCTATGAATCTGCTGTCAGACACAGAAGCACCTTAAGTTCTTAACCCTAGATGAACGGAACCACTGCAGGCATTCAGTATAGCTACAAAAGACAAGAGCAACACAGCAGCTAATATATTCTTGGAGGGGTTTTCTTATGTCTGTAGTATTTTCTGTGTTACTACCATATGGAATTCATTAGTACATCTCTACATCAGTTATGTCTTCCATTAAACAGAATAGTCAGTTATCCTTGAATAGGACTGCTACACACAATCAAAGACGTTCGATTACATTATGAATACATTGCCTAATTAATCGTTTTAGAATATCAATTTATAAATCATTTTCAATGCCATAAAGGTATAGAGACATTTATATCTACAAATGAAACAAAAATCGTGTGCTTGCATGTCATTAATTTTTTAGATGAATGTGAACAGCTTTTGATTAATCTCATTATTGAGTATTTTTGTGTTTTAAACTTCACATTCTAGACAACAAACAATTACCCAGCATCTTTGAAAATAAAAAGCAGAGCTGACTGCAATATTCACCTTCTCTCCAGGGGTGTTCCCTGCACCACAGCTCCTTAATTCAGCACTGATCGTCTTCTGTATTGAATGACACAGAGTACCATCCAATAGGAAAGCAGAAAGTAAACCCTTACATATGCCAAGTGAAGTGACTAGCTTCAGGTAATACACAGAGATGAAACAAATCCTCCTACATAAGCTTTTCCAGTTTATCTGCATTCTTCTCTTCATCGGTTCAAATTCCAGAATTTATAAAGCTTGTCTGAGCTGTTAGGGAAAAGGGGGAAGAGACCTGAAATTACAAACTGCAGAGCTCACTGAGGAGAGCTCTGAGAGCTGATTGGAGGGAAAGGACACCCCCTCCCCTTCACACAGGAACAGAGCTGAGGCTGTCAATCACAGTATGTGCCCTCCCCATCACCATTTTTCTCTTGGTGTCACGAAAACCCTTAAGAAGAGACTCATGCAAATAGCAGAGGAATGAGGCAGCAGACAGAAATTACACTTAGTGCTTTGGATTGAGACAAGAACACACAGGGACATGCTTTGTTTACATTTCAAGTCTGAGGTTTACAACCTCTTTAATCACAGAGAACCTGCATGCCTTTTATTTTGAAGCATCCAGAGCAAATATAGGTGATTTAAACTGAAAAATAATTTGGGCTTCTATTAGTCTATTCCAAAAAGTGTCATGTTGCTTTAAAGGGGCTATTTGAGTATCTAAGCATTTTCAGTTATTCCTTCTTTGCCCTTTATATGTAATAGGAAAGCAGTTCATTTAAAGTACAGGACCTGACACCATAAAAATCTATTGTCTCTGCAAACCCTTCCAATACATTAGGGTGGTTGACAGCACAGCTTACAGAGTGGAAAATAAGACAAGTTTCTATTGCATCAGAGGCGCAGAGTTTTTTCTGATTCAAATCTATGTTGTAAAGGTATAATGGGCCTTGATAATTTTAGAGAACTGGAGCGTAGGGTACAAGAGGCTCAGGGCCTTGGTCTTGCAGCTTAGAGGGAACTTATGGGAGATCAGGTAAAACAAAGTGCCTTTTCTTGTTTGTTAAACATAACTGAGCATTTAACCCCACAGCAAGGAATGATTTATGTTTTCCAAAAATTCAGCTTTAAGAATATCCATAGTTTTACCTTTGCATATGTCAGCAACTCAAAATTGACAGTCTTAAGCTGGCCATAGAGGGATCGAAATTCAACCGGCTCAGCAGGGACCGGCCAAATTTTAATCAATGTATGGGCATGCCTGTTTGACAGAAGTCAAATGCTAAATTGACTTTTGTCGAATGGACAAGTTGGAAAACTTTTGTTGATCAGCGACTGCAGTTGCCAATCAGTGCATTCCGAGATTGCTGGGTGCTGCTGTCAGATAACAATTTCCTGGTGAGGGGGATTCTTCCATCACCTCATTTTTTGTAGATATAGGAATCTGTTTTTTTTTTCTCAAATTGGCCCACAGGCTGATTGCACACATCAATGTATATAATATGCAGCGCTTTATAAATTGACAATGAATAAAATCCACTAAAATGAATATAAAATGAAGTAGATGAAACACAGAAACACAAAGCGCTATTTAGAAGCGCCAGGAATAATCGAGTGATTAACGTCCGGACATGAGGTTTAAAGTGCACAAAGTGAAGTGAATATTTCAAAGTTCAATCAATAAAATTGTAAGGTGCAAATCCATGATTCCAGTGGTAGTAAACAAATGCACATTTGAGTAATTCAGACCAACTCCTGGTCATCTGGATCTGGAACAGGGGACAAAGGGGATAACGTGCTGGGGCACGAAAAGCATTAGGGAGGTGCCCTACCTGGTGACGTCACGCCGCTTGGCCCACATGGAAGGCCAGCGGCCATTTTGGATCCTGTCAGATGTGAGTGTTTTTTTCTGAATTGCTTGTCATTTGATTCACTCCTCAATAAAAAATACTTCACTATTGGAAGTCTCTTCTCTGGCTCATTTATTATGAGCCCCCCTTAAGGTGAATCCTTGGTTGTCTATATGTACCTCCATGAGTGGTTCCCCCTGCTAGATGGATGTTTGCCCCTGGAGATGTATGCGGTGTGTTACCTGTCCTGCTGAGGTGTGCCAGATGACCCCCAGAGTCCCCTGTTACAGATCCAGATGACCAGGAGTTGGGTCTGAATTACTCAAATGCGCATGACATTGCGCTTTCTGGTTATTGCAATATACATTTGTTTATTACCACTGGAATCACGGATTTGCACCTTACAGTTTTATTTATTGAACTTTGAAATATTCACTTTGTGCACTTTAAACGTCATGTCCGGACGTTAATCACTCGATTATTCCTAGCGCTTTGTGTTTCTGTGTTTCATCTACTTCATTTTATATTAATTTTAGTGGATTTTATTCATTGTCAATTTATATATAGCGCTGCATATTATATTCATTGATTTATGAGAAGGATTCAGAAGTTTGCCTTTATGCTAGCTGCTTTACCATTTTTTACCTAGCGCTCGCTTAATTATCTTTTGATTGCACACATGCATATATTATTTTGACCTGGAAGTAGAACTTTTGTTGTCTGTCTCAAATATTGATTAGCTTATATATGGTATGTGTTAGTGTCACAGGCGAAAACATTACAGTTGTGACCAAAATTATTCAACCCCCAATGCTGTAAAGGGGTTTAGGGACTATAGTGTACATTTGGAATTGTATTCAGAATCAAATCCTACAAGGACGTTGTAACTACCCAAATGCAACTAAAATGACATCAATTGTTTATGTAATACAGTAGTAAATGGTTCTTATGTGGTTTCTTCATTGCCACAATTATTCAACCCCTTAAAGACTACCACTCTGAAGAACAGAGGTTCATACAGGTGCTTTCCATCAGGTATTGAAAACACCTGTGGATGTCACCGAGCAGCAATCAAGCATAATAAGCACCAATTAGGCAGCTTTAAAATGACTGTGATACTCAGCT